GACATTTTACTGGGTAGTATAGCTCACTCTTTCATTAACAATTCATATCAGATGACAAGATCAGATCCCGATCCATAAGAGGGTGCGAATAGGATGTCCAGTTGTTACTTTTTATTTATTTCTTTGATTTTTCGTTTTTCTTTTAGAATGGTCATTCCCGTAACCCTATGGGTATTCTAAATTATTGTGTAAGGAATGTAAATCCTAACTTTATTATTTCGCTTCCGCATTCAATTTATAATTTATTTCCTTTCAAGTTTTGAGCCGTTAAATTTAAATTTTGTTTTTGTAATTTCTCTATTAAGATTTTTGGAATCAAAATGAATATATATTGATGAATTTTATTGCACATGGTGATGTAAGATGTTGAAAGAGTTTAAAATCTAAAAACAAAAGGATAAAAAGTGGGCATATATGCAAGAATATTGCATATACGTAGAACTTTAATTTCATTTATTAATCACTAAATAAATCTCATGTATCTTACTTATTTTAATTGTAATAGAAAGAGTAGTTGTTATAAGCATAGAGAAGACATGGGGTATTTGTAACCTTTTACTTTATTTGTTAACTTTATTTTATTTATTTAAATTCTTTTTAAAATTTTAAAAATAAAAGATGATTAGTTTGAGTCATGATAATCATAAATCCATATAATAATTAGATATATTAATCATACTTGTTACTTTCTATTTTTGTCTTAACTTTATTTTATATTTTATGTTTTAAAAAATTTTAAAATTTAAAATATAAACACTCTTTGAGTCATAATAACTATAGATTAGTATAATTAAATTTATTTGTTGCTCCAAAAGAACAAACTCAACAATCTCAAAGAAAAATGTCATTAAGAGGATCAAGTGCAAAAAGGAGAAATGCGAGTTTGGATTATTGCATCATATTTATCCAAAAACATAAGTTTCACACTAGAATGATGGAAGATGATTTAATGAACTTTCATCAAACCATGCAAAGTTCTAACCCTTGTAAGTGGATTAATGTCATGAGTAAAGATATAAAGTACATGAAAAATAATGACATTTAGAGTCTTGTCTTATTGCTTGAAGGTGCAAAATCTATTTATTGCAAATTGATATCTAAAACCAAGAAGGATTAAAAGGGAAATATGAAAGATATAAAGCTCATCTTCTTGCAAAGCGCTTTATGTAAATGGAAAATATCGACTATAAAAAAATTTTCTCTCCAATTTTATCAAAAGATTTTTTTAAAGATGATAATAGTATTTCTGGTACATTTTGACCGTAAACAATATCTAACAAATAGTATCTTATTTAAAATTTCTGTCATTAAAAATACTATTTTATTTATAACTTAGACTTCCACAACTAAGATATACAATAACATATTTTAAGATTTCTAAAGGAACAGAGAGAGAATTTTTTTTATAGCTTTCAAGATATGTTTACTACCGATTAATGTAGTTGACATCCTACCAACTTGAGTGGAATTAGTTTTCCCATTTCCCAACATCATTAAGTTAGTTTAAATCAAAGTATTACAGTATGCATGATAAGTGCCGCATAATCAGGTTGTATTTGAGAATCAACTCCCCGTTCCTAATGAGGCACTATTATTGAATCATATTTTTATTAGTTAACTAAGTCTTATTAAAGCGACATTATTAAGCTTGAACATATAGGGAGTATATAACAAACCTGCGAACTAGTGTTGAGATTTGGAGGCGTCACTTTGCAGATAAAATTTCAAAAGCATTGAAATTACATAATTTTATACCTTTCGCAACTTATTCAACCAAATATCTCAATGACAAATTTAGAAATTCAATAGGTATAGAGAAAATGTCAGTCTTGACAAAACTACTGGTTTTATTATTAGTTTTACGCTATAATAAAAACTAAATTATATTAATAATTTAATTTTATTATAATTGTCTAAAGAATAAATTTATAAATTAAAAAGCACTTGATATTTTATTAATAGAAAAATCATAAATTTTATAACACTCATAAGATAAAATTTCATACCTCAAATTCGTTATGTATTAGCTTGTTTAAGCTAATAAATCTCATTTATTTATTTTTAC